CTCTTGATGAGTTGGCGTTTAAGGGATTTGCGCGCTTTGTCGTATCTTGAATCCGATGGAATGGCTTTGCGAGCGTCCATCAGGACAACCGAGAGGTGAAGATTCAGGTGAATTGCAAGCTTTTCGGGATAATTTGAGTTCTATTCTAGCCATATTCGGCATGCGTTTTTCACCTACAAACTGTAAAATGTTTCTTCGAGACTGGGTTGGTCCCGCTCTCAACATTACCTGGGAAGTAGTACAAGGAGTAGCCAAATTTTGCTATTCGGACGGCCATATCTCACTCGGCGGACGCATCACGTGAGAAGTGTCGGCGCGTTTATAGAGAGCACAGTGAGCATTTGTTAGCTAACTGCTGCAACAGTTCACCCAGTGCCGCTTTACGGTGTTTTATCCTAGGGATGTATTATCCTGATAGTGTTTCAAAGGTTCTGTTGGTTTTGGGCAATGAAGTTTGCCAGTCGTGTTCTCGGTTGAATGTCAGTGGCTTGTTTTTTCGGTAATGGAGGCACTCACCATTGGACCATATACTTAAGTGTTGGTTGGATTTTTTGCATTTCAATTATTTTTTATCAAAAATTCAACCCTTCTAGAACTGAGTAAACCGATGCGACTAATTCTGCGTCACTTATGTATGATAAATGGGAAATGCCTGATGGAAAGAACTGACGACGAAGTCGAACGGAAAAACAAGTATTAAGGTATATCTTTGGTAAGCGCGCAAAGTTTATCCTCTTATGGATGCTCAAATCAAATGTTGACTGATTCATGCTATAAGAGAGGCGCCTTAAGTTAGTAACATTTGTGGGATGTTAACGCAAGTTGGTTAACCGCAGGGTTATCATACGAGTTGAAAAAATACAGATTGCCACTGTCCATCGATGTTTTTGTGAACTCGGGGATGCTGAACCTTCGTGATTACGCGAAAAAGACAATAACGCTTAACAACTAGAAGGATCATAGCGATTTGTCGAAGCTCTGAAGGAAACAGCTTTTTTTGATTCCTACTTGGATGTTAACTCGACTTCTAAATGTGGTTGGATAAATATGTGGATAGAACATATGTAACATTTCGTGCAAATGAAGCAAGACGATTCATCCTAGGCGAATATTGCTAATTCTGTGCACTCTTGACGGATTCATAGAAGGTAATGCTCATCTTATCATAGGTCGACTATGAACAGTTAATTCTAAAGGTGGGTTCTTTTATTGTTACTTGTACTTTTCTCCATTTAACTTGTTCCTGTTGATTGATTAC